CCCACTTTCCCCTCTCATACTATACAAAGGAGAATTTATTGTGTCAATACAACTTGATGTTGAAAATAAGAGCATTACCCTTACCAGCATATATGTGCCAGCTTCAAGAAACTTCTCAGAAGCTCTTCCGGAACTGGAGGCCTTGTATAATGTCAAATACATTATCATATTAGGTGGTTTCAATGCAGGTGGCACTCTCTGGGGTGCTCCCTCAGATAGCTTCAGACAGTCCACCAACCTTCTGGACTACCCAATCTCGAGGCTCGCCAGACTTGACATTGGCAACAAGCATTCCTTTTCCAATAGTTCATCGATAGAAAATAAACATCCCTCATACAGCAATCATCGAATCATCATAGAATTCTCTGTGCATTTTAATCTGCATTATAATACAAAGAATCAATACAAAACTAAATTCATTAACATGCACAAATTCAGGGTTGTCTTGGCATCATGGGAACAGCATCTAATCAGTATATGCAACAACAGTAATAATCCAGAAGAACTTGACCAAGCACACAATGTATTTACCAGCACAATCATGTCAGTCTGTGAGAAGGTGAATAAAAAGATAAAGTATGTTGCACCCAGCAAAAGCTCCTGCTGGACTAATAAATTAGCAATTTAGAGACAGAAAGTGAAAGCCCTTAGATGCCGATTGCAGAGCTGTCACATTCCCGAAGAGCGACAACCCCAAAAAAACATTTTTAAAATGCACAGAGCAGCATACAAGAAACCAATGAACAGAGCTAAGCTGATTTCATGGAAGAAATTCTGCAGTTTTCAATAAATTTGTCCCACATGTCTGATGCAAGAGCAAATTTATCAGTCTGTAATCTTGTTGTCTTTTTGTCGAACTTTAAAAATCGTTTTATTTCTTTGAATCTATCTCTTGATAATAGTTTCTTTGCAAAATGGTATTCCCAGCACTTCAGACCACAAGGAATATAAATCTAAGCCCTTTGCTCCTATTACTCCTCGAACATACAATATAGTGACAAAAGCATCTAACTCAGCCAGAGATAACTTCCAGTCTTTATTTCCAAGTTGCCAATGAGCTTCGGATTCTGTACATTTCTTTATATGCAGCAAGATATTATCATCAATAAAAAGCTTGAAAGCACTTTGTCCTCAGAAACACGACTCTTTGAAAAAGATGTTGGTCTTCCTGTTTCTTTTAGAACATTATAAGGGGTAACATCAGGAGATGCTGACTGAATTTTTGAAATTTATTTCATTCCATATAGTGTTACCAGGAGCTGTAAAAGCAGTTTTGCAAATACCCTGATCCGTTTTTGCCCGTGTATTTCTGACGAGTTCTTCTTCATTTACTTCGCTATCCTCGGATTCATAATAGTTTGTGTCTGGAATTCATTTTCAGTTTCTACAGAAAAATTATCAATTTCACCTCCATCGGACTCATTTCCAGATAGCTCCTGCAAAATTTTAAAATTTCTTCATGCGTAAGATCTCTTTCCCGCTTATTACACATATTTTGAAAAAGTTGAAAAATATCAGACTATCAGAAAATGATAGGGAATATATTTTAGCATATGATTCTCACAGCGTAAAGGAAAGGTGATAATGAACATGACGGCAGAATTCATATGTACTGAAATATTCGTTTGGGATTACTAAGAAAACTTCTGCCCTAACTGTTATCACCCGCAATAAGTAAACTGAACTAACAAATGGGAAAATACATCTATAAAATAAACTATATCTGAAAAGAAATGTAGACATGAAAAATCATGCATCTACTTTCCTTGCAGTATTTTCTTCAAACGAATAGATAATTGCAAACAAAGGAACAACAATTTATGTAGGCATTACAATGTAGTGAGAGCACCCAGATTTTTATCCCTCTGTGAGATAGTATGAATGCAATTGAAAATTCCTTATCAGTGAATGTTTTTCATGGGTTATTTGACAATGCCTCAAACAGAAAGAGGGATAAAAGTAAAGGGGTCAAAATGACCCCCATCCGCCATTCTAGGAATACATGACAATGTTTCAAAAACTAAAAAACCTAGAATGCTGAAATTTTTTTAACAAATAATTCTTATCTATTTAGGAAAAGTCAAAAATTCCAAACGATTTCTTCCAATAAAACTGAAATAATCAATTGTCAAAAGCATTCAGGGGTCAAAATGACCCCCTACCACCGTTCTAGTGTTAATCTTCTAATTAGATCCGGCTTATTATTTTTTGCAGACTGTTAGAACAATTTTATAAAACTTAAGCTTGAACTTTCAATTATGTCAAAAAGAGTTTCCTATTCTGGAGCTGCCAAAAGATCTACAAAGCGAAAGCATGTTTCGATGTCCATTAAACTAAAAGTGGAATAGCTGCAAAAAATGGATAAAGGCCTATCCATCTGAAAATTATGCGAGAAGTATGGCATTGGAAAGTCCACTATATATAACACAAGAAAAAGGAACTTTTTGAATTTTTTGTGGAAGTATCTTAAACAACTAACATTGAAAGAAATGTTTAATAAAGTAAACAAATAAATATTAAGCTTTTTTTTTTAAACTTTTGATACCCTTTAGATCATAATTGCTCTTTATTTCATAAATTATGGTTTCATATTTTTAATTGTATAATTTCTGCATGCCACCTTACCAGATTTAAATTGATGATCTATAATCTGAAAAAAAATCTAATCCGGAGTCGCCGAAATCCCGACGAGTCCAGATTACGGACTTTGTACTGTACCAAACAGTAGCTGAAAAAATAGCCTTGCATGGGAGCCTCTGTGTGGGGTTCTCGTATCACAAAATGTATGAGCCTGCAACTTGGATCTGCACAACGACCTTTCTCCTGAGCATCTGTCCAGGATACAGAAAATGCACTAATGCACTAAACATCCTAGCTGGCTTTCCCTCTCCATCTTGTTGTATAATGGGAAAATGCCATAGTCTGCACAATAAATACATCTCTGTGAGACAGAGAATTTATCAGCATTGACTATGAACACAACAGCCAACAGTGCCCTGCCACCCAGCAGAATTCGATCCAGTATGAAACTACAAGCTCCATCATCAACTTATGTCTTTAGTCTTATGCAGTATATACTGATGATCAAGGACTTCTGTGTGCATATATATGAGCATCAGTTGCGTATTTATCTGGGAACGAAAACTAAATTCTGCCAATACAGTGTTCGAAACTGAGCTTGCAGCAATTCACTACACTATTCTATTTGATCACAAACTAACCATATATTCTGACTCATCATCAAGTCTCCACTCAAGACAGGGTTGAAAAAGCGTGAGCACTACAGTCAATTCAATTCAGAGAATGCTACTCTCCTTGCCAACAAATATGAATCGGAAGTTGATCTGTCAGCACTATCCTTATCTTCAGGGCAGATGTTTTTATTTTATTTAGCTTTTAATTTCTTACTAAATGTAGTATTTCATCTCGATGTACTCCGTCTTTGATATGATTTATCAAATTCCTCGTCATTATAATTCACTTCCGATAGCAAAGAAAGTGACACAGAGGTTATTGAAAACGAAAAAATTTCGATTGACAAATTAGTCGGTATTCTCGACATAGCAATTATAGGACTTGAACAGCGGAACTTTGTAACTGAACAAGAAATTATGTCTGTTTATAGAATTAAAGAGAAAGTATTATCACATAAAAAACGAAGCAACCTAAACAACTTACATTGAAAGAAATGTTTAATAAAGTAAACAAAATAAATATTAAGCCTTTTTGGGGGGGGGGAATTTTGATACCCTTTAGATCATAATTGTTCTTTATTGCATAAATTACGGTTTCATATTTTTAATTTTATAATTTCTGCATGCCATCTTACCAGATTTAAACTGATGATCTATAATCCGGAAAACCGATGAGTCCGGATTAACGACTTTTGACTATATATCAGCGAACAAAATTAGAATCACTAGCAGGGTTTAAACAGGCTGATAAGCACTATCTCCAAGTGGACCAGCTGCTCTCTGCCAGTAGAGTAAAATCAATACCACGTACTTGTGTTGTTTTGTGTGGTGAGGTTTTCCTAAACCATGCGTAAAACATGCTGCATTGTAACTACAGATCTGGACACTCAAAATGGAGCACATAGAAAGCCTTTTCCTGTTAAGATGCCATCGTGTAAAGGGTAAGGTCAATTTATTATTAATTTTTAAAATCACACCATTCATTTATAAACACCCTCTAGAATAATCATCAATCAAGAGTGGTAAACTATCTGACAGGAAGGCATAAATTAAAAACAATACGAAGGGAAAACAAACTTGAAATAAAAGTAAATAAATATACAAATTAAAAAGTAGGTACTGCAGTACTGCAGGTACTTAATCTTTTTTAAGGAACAGCTAAAGTAATTATCAACACATTTCTAAAGTATACCTGGATTGAATTGCAAAAGAAAAATATTCGTTTTTAATTTGTGCCTTTCTGTTTGATAGTTTACCATTCTTTATGTATACACATATATATACAGCATTGCCCTTGCACCTGTAAATAATACATTCTGTGGTGTGTTGGTAGATAATACCAAATATTACATATGACACAATATTCATGTAGCATGTGCAAATGTAATACTTTAATTGATAAATTATAAAGATATTATCTACATTAAATAAAATGTTGTAATATCTATTCCATTTTCTGTTGTTTATGTCTATGAAAATAAGAAATTCTGATTTTTTAACTTAAATCCTCAAAATGTGGTACAGTAATGAAAAATATAGTACCATTTGCCTTTTTAGGGATGATGAAATAGCAAATATTATACCTTCCATCAAATCAACTCAAAAAGTAATGAAACAAAGATCTCAGTTGTATTTCTACTCCGCTTGAGACTGTTGTGTTAAGACATATTATGTAAATTTGGGTTGTTATCTTTAGGTTACATAATCCAAAATTGTTTATTCCTTTAATTTGTCCTTAAAATGCACTGCAGATGCAGGAGCAAAACTGTACTTTAAAATTCAGAGTTAAAGAACAAAAAGACTAACTGCTTTATAATCCAGAAACATTTCTTTGAATGTTATAAAATCGGTGAAGCTCACCAAGATGTCAAATACTTCGCCTTCTAATTCTGAATGATTGCTTCTGGAATGGAATGTAAATGATGTTAATCTCAATTTTTCCATATTATTTAGCTTTTACCAAAATTCAAATTATTGTTTTGTTACTTACATATCTTGCAAGAAATTCTTCATAGAAAATCCAGGTATTCTTTTACGCAGACATTCTTCTATGTGCCTTTCAATAAGTTCATTCTAAAATTAGTAGATATTTCACTTTAAATCACACCGAAAAACCATCTGAAAATTTTAAAACAGGATTATGATTCATAAGTTAGAAAATCAATTAATACTTGGAAAAACATTGGTGAAATCTGTCGATTTTTAATGTTAACCCTCTGCACATTACGGGTTTGGCTTTGAAATTCTCAGATTTTTCCCAAATGCCATGAATAAATGGTATTTTTTATATTATAATTCTAAAATGACCCTTTCACATAGCACCTTTATTCCTTTCCTTCCAATATCCATCCCAAAATTGAATCCATCAAGAGCTGGCAAAATTTTCACGTCGAATGAATTCCAGAAATTTACATCTGTATATCTAATTATGGTTAATTCAAAAAAGTAATTTTTATTTATCTGCAAACCCTTCTGAAAAGTCACCGACTCGTTCCTGATTAAATTTCAGTGTTCAAGAAAGAATGCTCAAAATTAATGTTTGTCACTGCAGAATTCAGTTTGCTTCTTTTGAGAGCATTTAATCTATCACATAAACAAATTTTACTAGAAAATGATATCGCATTATGGCAGCAACTAGAGCTGGGAACAGAGCTCTGGTAAATTAGACGAGGTACCAAACTGGCTAGAAAAGTTAGAAATTCAGTTTACAAAATAAATTATAATTGTTGATTTTAGATTTTTAAAACACTTCAATATGCAGAAATTTAAAATATCATATTTAATGTAGTAAAACTTTGTTAGTACTGTTAATGATAATTTGAAAGCATTATATACTTTAATGGCAGACAAATAATATAAATAAAGTATAAAAGACTGAATACTAGACCTTCATGAGACATTTATCAAAATACTTGTGAATGCAGTTTTGCATGTATAGGGCAAACCAGCAGATCTTACAAATTCAAGACCAGAGAATACATAATACATAGCATGCTAAACAGAAGGAAGTGAAATAGTCTTCAAATACTTCCCATTCTCAGAATAAAATCTAAGATTTAAATTTTTGGAGGGCAAAATTATGAAACACTACCTCATTCTTCAATTTGGATTTCTTAGAAGCTTCTGAAATTTTCCTTCAGAGTAATTTTGTTAATGATGCAGCTTCTATACTGTTCTTATTAATGGTGTGAAAAAAAAAACCTGTTCCAAACCCCACTTTTCTTCTTTCAACCAAATACCATTAACTTCGATGTCAAACACTACAGTCAACTGCATTCACCACCATAACAATAATATTTTGATAATACTGAACTAAATTTGTATGAAACTAGAATTAACAATAAAATTTTATATATTGCAATAATATTTTTGATTATTTGAACGAATTATTATATTGAACTTTTATATTTTTTTAGCATTAAACTGCACAAAGTGATTTTTCTCAAGCATAATCAGCTAATCTAATACTAATATAATAGATTTCACATCTTTCTTTCCATTGGTAAATAACAGGATAAAAATATGCATATATTTTGTTTTGTATTTATTATCTAATAACAATCATGCAAACCTTAATACAAGTCTCAGGACTGGATTTAGATTTGACGAGATCCTAAGCTATTTGAAATATGGGGCCCTTTATGAGGGATACGAGTCAATTTTTTTTTTATATGGAATATGCTACAATTTTTCAGGGGTTGCCAAGAAAGTAGAGGCCCTAAGCTGTAGCTTGTTCAGCTTATACATAAATTCAGCATTGACAAGGCTTTAGGATAAATATTGCATATTATAGCATTCATTATTTATCCTTGATGAATGCTTGAAATTCCATGTAAATTTGCATGCTACCTGATGACCATATGTTTTATATTCAATTGGTAAAGCAGAGTGCATATAGAGAACAAATTTATTAGTATATATCTTGATACATGTATGACCTGCAAATCTTAGTGGTGTGTTGAGAACCATGGTATCCAAAGTTGTGCTAATGTAAAACCAAGAAGGACAAATAATAAAATAAATGTAGGCTAAATGCTGTACAAAAGTAATGTCTAGTTACTAACAGACTCAAACTAGAAAACAAAACCCTAATAAACTTGTACCAAATTAATTATTCAACTTAGTTATTTCTCCAGAAATTCTTAATCAGGAGCTTCACAGAGTCAGTACTGGTAGTCGACTTGCAACTGCTAGTTCAAGCTTAATACCAGTGGTGCTAACAGTAATAGTCTTAAATCTTAGATGCAGAATAATGGGTTGATCTAGGTTTGTTGCATAAGGTAAAGCCTTTGAGGGCCATTTTCTGTAGGAACCTAATTACTCATGTACTGCATTCTGAAAAAACAGTGCCATGTATCAACATTACAATGCTTTTCCGCTGTCAGCAAGATTATCGACACTGCTCTGACGACTTTTGAAAGATATATATAGGATTTATATCAGGACTGCTTAGTCCTTTGAGGTTTTTTTTTTTTTTTTTTTTTTTTTTTTTTTTTTTTACACAGAAGTGATTTCACTCTATTATAAAATGTAATAAATGGAAGTGTTCACAGTGTGACTCAACAATAATGACAAATAGCTATGATCAACAGGTTTACCAGCCATTTCTTTCTTGTTCCTATATCAGTCAAGAATAGCCTTCATCTACTCAGCATTGTAAAGTACTAAGCCCAATTAAACCAGATGTCTCTACTTAAGTGTCAGTAACATTTTATTGAAGGTTTGGCTTAACCTTATGCGTAACAAGAATCTTAATGATGAAGAAATAAAAAGTCTTTAAAATAAATAGAAAATTGAGTTTAATTTACTTACATACAAATTGAATATATCCATATATTCAAGTTTATTTTCTTCACATTCTTCAAATGCTTTATAGTGTTCTTCCATAAAACTCTGTTGTAATTCAATAAAGTCTGGATCTGGAGAAATGCAAATGAATAGTACATTTGAACACAATATTGATATACTAATACTTATAGATATACTAATATCTAGCATTTGACTTATTTGATTATGGAAAAGTATACAGCAATCTGCCTAAGGGAAGGGATGCCTTCGAGGAGAACTTTCTAAGGGAAACTGGCCCATATCCACGTTACACACAGGGAAAATGTCTGTGCATTGAGATTCAAACCCAAGTCAAACTACCGAAGCATTCAGTAACTTTACTACTTGGCTAATGGTGGGCCTAATTGATATCTAATGGATAAACATAAGAAATGTGTTATTTAACTATCTCATTTTGGTCATGCAATTTAAGTTGTAAATTACAAAGGAAAATAATGTTCAGTGATTTAAACTGTGATGGGCCTGTTCTAAAATTGAATTTATGTAATATGAAAGAAATGTAAAATGCTTCATAAGTCAAAATGCATTATCCCACCAAATGGAAAAAAAGATGCATTCTGATCTAGATTCATTTGCACTGCACTCTTATTCTTCTTCTTCTTCATAAACTCCACAGCCTGTTAATTGGAGACAGATCTGGTTATCTCACAGGCCAAGGTAACATGTCGACACACTGTAGAGCACATTGTGTTACAACAGCGGTATGAGGACGAACATTATCCTGTCGGAAAACTCCTCCTTGAATGCCGTTCATGAATTGGCAGCAAGTTGAATTACCAGACTGACATACAAATTTGCAGTCACTGTGTTTGGAAGTATAGCAGGAGTGCATTAGAGTACTCCTGCTGTCATAAGAAATTGCTCCCCAAACCATGACTCCAGGTGTAGATCCAGTGTGTCTAAGCCACAGACAATTTGGTTGCATGCATTCCCCTGGCCTCCTTTTGACTAACAGCTATCACTGGCACCAAGGCAAAACCTGCTTTCACCCAAAAACACAAAGGATCTCCATTCCGTCCTCTAATGAGCTCTGGTTTGAAACCACTGAAGTCACAAATGGCAATAGCTTGGAGTCAGTGGAATGCATGCTACAGGGTGCCTGGCTTGGAGCTGTACTTGAAGTAACCAATTTGTAATAGTTCACTGTGTCACTGTGGTACCAACTGCAGCTCGAATTTCTGCCGCAGACGCAGTACGATGCACCACAGCCATATGCAATACGGCGGTCTTCCCTCTCAGTAGTTCCATGTGGCTATCCAGAACCCGGTCTTCTTGAAGCAGTACCTCCATTTGACCACTGCTTCCAACAATCATACACAGTGGATACATTCTGGCCGAGTCTTTTGGCAATATCGAAGAAAGAAAATCCACTTTTTCATAGTCCTATTTGATGTTGAAGCAAAAGTTTAAAGTTTATAAAATTAAACATTTAGCAATAGTAGCAATAAAAGCTCCCTGAGATAATATGTTGTGCAGACATTGAAGACAATAAAAAGGTTTCAAACTTAACCAATTTATTAACAATATAATAAAGAATAAAAACACAGAAAATAAATTTAAACAATATCAGAGTCTTAGGAAAAATATAATATAACCATCATTTATCAAATAATATTTTTACCTGGTCTCCAAAAACACTGGCATTCAATACAAACAAAAATGTCCTAAACGGTAATTATGCGGCCTCAAATGAAATTGGCTACACATTCAAAAGTCCATGATCAATGGTCAAGAAAACACCTAAAATTTAAATCAAGTTCTTGAAAGCACTTAAAATCGGTCTAACTCTGTTTACATTAGTTGAACACGAGGAATCGCCACTAACGTATTTTAAATGCCACCTTCATGAAAAACATGGATGCCGCCCACGGCAGTCACTCACATGGTAGCCTCTGGAACCAAGGAACTTATTCTGGAACAATCATCTTGTATACAGGAACCAAGGAACTTATTCACCGGACTGCAAGCATCCTTCTGAAGGGGCTGGAAACCGCACACCCAAGTGCCAGGAAAGCAGGAACTAGAAGGGTTGAGCCAGAGCCAGAGGCCTATTATAGGTATTCAACCCCCCAGTGGGTTTTTACCTATACATATCAAGTTACTTGTGATCACTTTCGAAGAAGACTGCTAGGTTTGAGTCATGAAAATACAGATGGAATGACGTCTGTAGCAAGGATAAATCAATTTGTATGGCAATCTTTCTTTTGGCAGCTGCAAGTTGAAGTACCGGGGGTGATTTTTATATACATAAGTAAAAATATAAAAAATGCAGTAAACATGAAAAATAAAATACTAAAAATCTTGATTAAATAAGTGGAAGTGAGAAATAATATTTACAAGTCCTTGATTTCATTTTAAAAAATGAGTACGGCCAAGGCCCGAACTCGCTATCTTCGTAGGAGTGTGCCGGAGACAGGACTTAGCCCGCTCGGCTGCTCTTCTCTATGCACAAGTAGTCGAGAAATTAAATGAAGGGTTCTAAAGCTTTCAAGGCGAAGTCAATCTTGTAATTTTCGTCGTTGATGCTTTTATACTGATTGTATAGATCTTTTAGCTTGAAAATTAAATTTTTAAAATCTTCGAAAGTTTCAGTAGGATTATTTTTCGTTGCTATTGGTTGTTTTTCAGGTAAATTTCTAAGTGCTGCGGAATAATTTCTTTTTGTTGGCTGGAATTTGTTGTTAGGAGTGTTTTCGTTATTAGGGGTTTTCTTAGGGAGATCTGGGAAATCATCTTCTAAAGTTATGGTTTTTTTCTGTTCTTTGAGTTTTTTTTTGAAGAGCTTCTGATGGTTATCTTTGTTGCCCGGTCTCTTTGGGCATTCGGAGCTGCTAGCGAGATGCGATCCAAGGCACAAAACACATTGTGCTGTAACTTCTTTTTTGTTCTTGATGGGACATTCAAAAGAGTGGTGGGTTTCTAAACATCTTACGCATCTAGGAATGTTGTGGCAAGCGGCCTGCGTATGCCCGTAATGCTGGCATTTGAAACACTGCGTTGGACCTGGCTGGCTTTTGTATGACTGAACTTGTATCTTCATATCAGAAATATGGGAGATATTGTATATTTTCTTTCCTTCTGGATTTCTTGGGCTTTCTATGTAGTAGATAGGCAGTAGTGTAGGAATTCTGTTTCTCATTCTCGTTAGTTGAGTGCATTTAATGACAGGGATTCCGTAGCTTTCTATCTCCTCTTTCAATTCTGATGGGGGGGGTGTCAATGGTAAGGCCTTTAATAACTGTTTTTAAATTTATTTCTTTCTTTAGAAGGTAGGTGTGGAAGGGTATTTTCTCTTTTTCAAATTTTTTCGTGACATTTCTGTGGTCGTCTTCGTTGTATAAGTTAATTTTAAGCATATCATCTTCTATTTTAGTTTCAATTTTGGTGACCTTTAAATTCTCTTTAATTTCTTTTCGGAGCTGTCTCCAATTGATGTCAGTTTGTGTAAGATAAATTGGTGGGATTTTAGTAGCTTTAATTTTGTAATTTTCTTTATTAGGTTGAGTTTGGGATTTTATCATATTTTCATCGTCGAGGTTTTGTTCTTCATTCAGAGCGCTGTAACGTGAGCAAGTGCTCACTGCCTGTGACATGGCTGAGGAGCCGCTGTCATGTCTACTGCGTTTTAATCTCTTAACTTCTGTCCAATCAGCATCGTCTGGGAGTTTTGCTTTGACATTTTTAGTCTCTTTAACTTTAGGTGGTTCTATTGATTTTGTGGGTTGTTTTTTCAAATCTTTTGGTGGAACTGGGGTGCGGAATTCTCATTCAGGTTTATTATCGGCATATTGCGGTTCAAGGATTTTGTCAATCAAATCTTCAGGTATAACTTTGGCAAGCAATTTCTCTTGCATGTCGAGTTCAGATTAAAATGTATGTTGCCTCACAGGAAGTTTATCTTCTTTTTTTAACTAAAGATTTTAAACGGTTACTTTTTAACAAGAAGTTCCACTTCAGGTTAAAAGGCGCTATTTGGGTTGAATCTTGGATCATATCTTTACTGCTGGCTTTAGCTACTAGGAGCTCTTACCAGTATATTATCATTTTACCATAGGCCATAAAGTTAAAAATTTAAGAGGTGTATTTAAAATACACCGCGCCCGAAGGCGAGATCAATAAATGAGAGAACTCATAAAATAAGTTTTGCTAAATTGCAAATCATGGCATAGCATGGGTGATTATATACGTAAATGGTGGCGAGAAGCGAAATGAAAGTCTAAGCTTCTGCGTGAGTCAAGAAGAGCAGGAAACACGTGATCAGCGTCCGGCATTTAGATTGGTCGAGGAGTCAGAGTTCGAAAAATGAAGTTTTTGTAGTTTTTGGCAATAAATAAAGTTCGAACATAGTAAAAGCAACATCTATTTGTGAATTTAAGAGTCTTATGTCTTTTGAAACACTTGAAAATCTTCTAAACTTGCGATATAATCATTAAATGAATAGGAAACTGTAAAAGGCGAAAATGAGGTCATGTAGCTCACTAGGGCTAATGAGTGAGAGTAAGCACTTGGTGTTACCACGAACTTTGATTTTAAAACACACGATACGAAATAGTAAAAATAAAAAGTAAAAGTAAAAATCTTGGTTAAATAAGTAGTAAAACGAAGAATTCATCGATGAAAAATAAAGTCCTAATTTTGCAAAGTTCATCTTTCTTGAATAGTAACTGCAAAGGAATAGTAATTTTTTTTTTTTTTTTTTTTTTTTTTTTTTTTTTTTACACATTATATACACACACTACCACCACTTAGAATTGTGGTGGATCGTTCGAGGTCTTTTCACTACGTTCTCAATAGTAGGGTCATAGTCTGTAAGCGATTTAATAGCTTCATAGGGAGAATTTCTCATATCTTCAAAGAAGTTGTGTGCAGAAATTAGGATTTGGTCGTGAATTGGATTGATATCCAGGTCTTTGTGAATTTGAGAATTTCGCACGAACCAGGGTGCGTTCACTATGCTACGTAAGATTTTGTTTTGAAGTACATTTAATTTTTGTCTGTCTATTTTTCGGGCAGTAGCCCAGGCTGGAACTGCATAGAGGATTATTGGTCGAATAAGTGAGATGTAGATATTTTTCTTGGTACGGAGGTTTAACTTAGAGTTTCTTCCAATTAATGAGTAGAGAGCAATGAAAGCAGCGTTAGCCTTATTTGTAACATATTGAATATGATCTTTGAAATTTAGGGTTTTGTCAATATAGACACCTAAATATTTATAGGAGTTGGCAACAGGAATATCTTGGTTATTGAGTCGGATATTTATATTCACTGGGATATTTTTTCTGTATCTGCGAAAGAGAACTACGCAGCATTTATCAGTATTTAGTTTGATTTTCCAGTCTTGACAAAATTTGTTAATAATGTTGACTTGGAGCTGAAGTTTCTCTAAAGCATTATTTGGACTTCGTGAACTGGTGAGGATGACTGTGTCGTCGGCATATTTGAGTATATTAGAATGAAAAGGTAGAGGCATATCATTTATGAATATTGTAAAAAGCTTCGGTCCTAAAACACTGCCTTGAGCTACTCCACTGTAAATCACTTTTTTTGAAGAGATTGCTTCACCACAGCGCACTTGAAAAGTACGATGTTTAAAATAAGAATGCATAAGCTTAATAAAGCTGTTTGGTAAAAGGAAGTTAGATAGCTTATGAAGTAAGCCAGCATGCCACACTCGATCGAAAGCTTTTTCGAAATCGAGGAAGCATGCCGCTACTCCGTTCTTTTTTGTAAATTCTTGGGCAATAAATTCAACTAAATTTAATATTTGATGTGTGGTATTGTGGCCTTTGCGGAATCCAAATTGATGCTTGTCTATTAGATTAAGGCGTTCTAGATGATTGGTGAGCCGAGCACTAAGTACTCGTTCGAAAACTTTTCCAAGCGCTGGCAGAAGACTGATGGGTCTGTAATTTTTTGCTAGCTTTGGATCTTTTCCTGGTTTCGGGATCGTAACAATGATCGAATGTTTCCACTGCGATGGAAAGTAGCTGAGTCTAATACAAGCATTAAAAATATTTGTAATTAAGACTATGCATCTTCTAGGTAAAGCTTGCAACGCTTCATTAGAAATCATGTCATATCCTTTAGCTTTGCGCTTCTTTAATTTTTTAATAATTTGCTGAACTTCGTTTGGAGATGCAGGCGTAAAAAAATTAATGCTGGGACTGTTGAGGATGCTATTGACAGAGTAATTAATATCTTTTTCGTGATCAGAATTTTTATTTTCATGTTGTTTAAAAATGTTTTCTAATTCTTTTGCATGAATTTCAGCAATGGAGTCTTCGGAGTGGTGAATTTTGCCCATGTGATACAGGGGGTGAATTTGATTGGGTGAAAGATTTCTGAGTGATTTAGCTACTTTCCAAACAGAGTTTGGGTAAAGATCCATGTTTTCTAGGAAATTATCCCACGAATTTGATCGATGGGTGGC